CTCCTCGAGGCGCGCCAGGGGGGCCAGGGCGGCGGGGGGGGGGGACGGCAGGACGAGGAGGGGAGGCTTGTCGGAACGACGACAACGTCGTCGTCGTCGTCGTCGTCGTCGTCGTCGTCGTCGTCGTCGTCGTCGTCGTCGTCGTCGTCGTCGTCTTCGTCGTCTTGGAGCTCTTGGAGCTTCTCGGGAGGCTCTCGCCGCCACGCTCTGCACGCGGCTCGGAGCACTGGCCAGGGATGGACCGCCTCCTCCTCCTCCTCCTCCTCCTTCTCCTCCTCCTCCTCGAACCCTGTCCCTGCGCGGGTCCAGTCGACGCTGGGTTGTCGGACACCCCCGATGTGGTCACCTGGCTGCAGACACGCTTCAGGCTCTGAACCCCAGCTGGTTTTCCAGAAACCTCGAGGGCATGGGTGGGGTTCACGTGTCGCCGCGCCGTCTGCTCCGACGCGCGGCCTTGCGTCTTGGGGAGGCAGGGCGCCGAGGCCACCAGGGCAGACGCCGCCTCGGGCGCGGTGGGCCTGCCGTGGCGTCTACCGTGGTGCAGTCTTCCTGGGTTTGCCGTGGGTTTGCCGTGGGGTCGGCGTCGTCCACTTGGGAGCGCCTTCCGAACGGATGGCGCGGCGACGCGTGTGGTTGCGTATCTGGGGGGCCGGGCTTGGGCGCGTCCTGTTCGGATGGGGGGGGGTCGGGGCAGGGGGCGGGGCAAGGGGAGGCGGCATCTCTCGTGAGGCCCAGGGAGCCAGCCCCCCTTCCTCCCCCGATGGGGGCTCGAGAGGCAGCGCGCGGCACTCCGCGCCAGTGCCCACGCTGCTGCACTGCTGCCGTCGACTGCTGCACCCTGCTGCCGGCGGCCCGCTGGACAAAGAGGATCCTCGAGGGCCTATCGTCGATGCCTCCTCCTGGGGGGCGGGGGCGCCTCTCTTGGACTGCTGCCCCCTCTGTGGCGCGGCGCCAGCGCAGAGGGATCTTCACGTGCGGGCGCCACGAAGAGATCGCGGTGGGCTGCTCTGCCTCCCTTCGGGCCCTGGGGGGCCCTCGGTGGACCGACCCGGCTCGGGAGGCCACGCATAGCGATCGGGCCGGGCACTGTGGCTGCGTTTTTTTCACGCCGGCGCACTTTTTCACGGCGCCGGGGTCGGGGGAGGGGCAGCACATAGACAAAATGTTTGAAACCTCGCAGTCTTGAAGGGGATGTTCATCACCCCCAGGCCCCCGAAAGCATTGTTGATTTTAGCATGGGGGGTGGTGTGGGGGTCCGGATATGTCTGTCCACCCGTGCCCTCTCCAGTGCCGCACTCCCCTGATTAGCCTTGGGGGGTCCGGGGGGGGGCATCTTGCGCCGCAGGGTTCAGATTCTGTTGTCCATGTCTATAGGGCGACGATATCTATACATATCCACTGCTCCCGGCCAGGCCCATCCTGGGCCCAAGAGCTGTGTATACGCCCTCCTGGCTTGGCCAGGGAGGCGTATACACCGCTCCTGGGCCCAGGATGGGCCTGGCCAGGAGCAGTGGATATGTATAGACTTCGTCGCCCTAGTCTACGGGCGGGAGGAGGAGCTCCTGCACGAACGCTTGACGTGTGCTGACGCTCCCCGGGCACAACGCCGTCTTGTCCAGGCGGAGGTGCCCCCCCCCCCGCCGTGCGCGGCCGTCGTCCGCGGGCCTGAGGAGACCCCTGCTGGCCCGGCTTCGAGCGAAATGTCCGACGCTGCGGACACAGCATCGTCGTGACACACTTCGGTGCCACCCCAAGATGCTGATGCGGTGTGTTCGTCGCCGCCCCCAGGCAGGGGCGGCACGCGCGCCGAGAAATCTTGTAGCACAGTGGAGACCCATGCCAAGAAACACCCTGCTCGCCTCCAGGGGTGCCCTGGGTCTCTTGGGTTTCGATGATTTTGCTATAGAAGCCGCGACGTTCCCACACCCAACATCAATGGACGCCCTGGGGTCTCAGGGTTGGGTTTCTTGTGGAAGGTTTCTTGTGGACAGGCCTTCACTATATAAGCTCCGTGGCGGGCGCTTTCCGGCCATACCGCTCGGGAAACGATCTACCAAGAGATGGGTATGCTAGATGTTCGGGTCGGACGCACGCTTCCAAGTATGGCGCGTAGCATTAGTATGTCCTTTTGCGTCCCAAAACTCCTGGCCGGAGCCATCGACCCCACCTGCGGCAATTTTGCGGGCCAGGTCGGCCCATGAGGGTCCTGGGGATCGAAGCAGGGCCAAGCATGGCGAACCGCCGGCGGCGAAATCCGAATCCTACCCTCGCCGAACTTGATGGGCGGCGGGGGTAATTAGGGTTCGGAAGTCGTCGAACACGTGGCGAAATACGAATCCTGCCCCCGCCTCCCATCGATGCAGGGGAATGGATGGTTGGTGGGGGTATGGTTCGGATGTCGCCACCAAATCCGCTCGTCGTGACCTTTCCCGCGAACATCCAGGTCAGGGGGGACCTTCGCTGTGCTGGCACAGCCTGGAGTGTGGAGCCGGCGCAGCCGATACAGAACGGAGTGGCAGGAATACGAAATTCGGCGGCCCGTACCACTGGGTGGGGCGAAGGCGACGGGGCCTTCTGAGAAGGCAGGTGGTTCCTCGGCAGCCCAGGAAGATAGGGATAGCGCTACATGTTCCGTGTACGGTCGAACCGAGGTATAAGATCGAGATACGTTCGGGGAGGGTATCCTAGTGTTATTCGTGCTTGTTGGGTGCTTTTGTTGGCCAGCGGAGGGTCTCCTGTTCTTGAAGGATGTTCTTCTGTCCTGGAGCTGGCCGTGGCGGTATCGGCATCGTTTCTTCCTCTGACCTCCTGCCCACCTCAGAAGTCTCCAACACACCCCTTCTGAGGTGGCCCCCCTGCCTTTTCCGAGACGGCCACTCTCCTCGCCCCACACCCTGTCTGCGCGCGCCGCGAGTCGTCGTTGCCGTCCTGCTGCTGCTGATGCTGCTGCTCTTCCTCTTCGTCTTCGTCTTCCTCCGCCTCCGCCTCCTCCTCCTCCTCCTCCTCCTCCGCCTTCTCCTCCTCCTCCTCCTCCTCCTCCTCCTCCTTATCCTTCTCGAACGCTTGATCCGTTGTTTGTTTCCGTGTGGGCCCTGCAGGAGGGTTGTCTCTCGAGGTAGTCGCACTTCATCGGATCATTGGTGCTGCTCTGCTCCGCTCCTTCTCCTCGTCCGTAGCATGACCCTGGGGACGAGTGCAGCAGTGGCAGAGTGGGATTTCTCCCACACCTCATGCTGCATCACAGCGGCCCGTGTGAGGGATGAGCCAGGACAGAGGAGGAGCAAGGAGGAGGCGGCAGGCTGCAACTCCCCTGAGATCCGACGCCTGGGGGAAGAAATGCAGCATCGCGAGATGCCAAGGCCAGAGCCCCAGGCCCCAGCGTCCTGCTGCATTCTCCGAGCCAGATCGCTCTGTGACAGCCCTGGGGCCCGAGGTGGCGCGAAAACGCCCGGTGTGAACAGAACGGCGAGGCCTGGATCTCAGGGCCATCGAGACCCGGAATCGGCGGCGGGCCCTCCCAGAAGGCCAGGATGGCCTCGGGCCTGCCGAGAAGTCCTCGGAGCCCTCCTCGAGGAGACGCAGAGCACTTCCCAGGAGGCGCGAGGGCTCCCGAGAAGCCCCGCCGCCTCCCGAGAGGGCCTCCCTCCCCTCTCGCCTGCCCCTCGCTCGCCGCCGACGGAAGCCTTCCCCAGCAGGGGGGAGGAGCCGCGGCGCGTGGCGCCCCGGGGCGGCCCTCCGGGAGGCATCCTGCTCCCCGACTCGGCGGCCAAGCCGCCCAACTGGGGCAAGGTCCTGGCGGTGGGCCCCGGCCGCCTGTCCAAGGACGGCCCGGCGAGGGGCCGGGAGCGAGGGGGGCGAAGGGGGCAGGGGGCGAGGGAGGAGCAGTGAGAGAGGACGGGCTGTGGGCCAGGTGGTGGTGGTGGTGGAGGAGGGGGAGGAGGAGGAGGAGGAGGAGGAGGAGGAGGAGGAGAGGAGGAGGAGGAGGAGGAGGAGGAGGAGGAGGACGAGGAGGAGGAGGAGAAGGAGGAGGAGGGAGGAAGAGGAGAAGACAAGAAAGAGAGAGGAGGAGGAGGAGGAGGAGGAGGAGGAGGAGGAGGAGCATAGGTAAGGACGGGGAGTATGGAGTAGGCGGAGGCGGAGGAGGAGGAGGAGCAGGGAGGAAGAGGGATGAGGAGACGGAGGAAGAGGAGGAGGAGGATGAGGAAGAGGAAGGAAGCTGGAGAAGGGGAGGGGAAGGGGAGGAGGGAGAGGAGGATGAGGGGAAGTTAGGAGGGATGAATCAGACGAGACGGAAGGTCGAGGAAAAGAAGGAGGAGGTCAGAGGCAGAGGAGGTGGAGGAGGTGGAGGAGGATGTGGAGGAGGAGGAGGAGGAGGAGGAGGAGGAGGAGGATAAGGAGGAGGAGGAGGAGGAGGAGGAGGAGGAGGAGGAGAAGGGGATAAAGACAAGCCAGTGACGCTCGCGCCATATCTGCCATCCTAACCCTCCCACCCATCCCTTCCCTTGATTCTCTATTCGCCGATGGGTGGCACAACGAACCTGGAACCCCTAAAAGGCAACCATCGTGCTCTGCGTGATCACAAAAGGGGAGCTGTGCATGTTGGAGGAGGATGAAGAAGAAGAGGTGTCGGATGAACAGGAGGAAGATGAGGAGGATGAGGAAAGAGGAGAACGAGGAGGAGGAGGAGCAGCAGCAGCAGGCGCAGGAGTGGGATGAGCGGGACGAGGAGGAGGATGATGATGAGGAGGAGGAGGAGCAGGAGGAAAAGGAGGAGTGGAAGCCGCCGACATCCATCGTGGCACACGGTATAGTCAGGGCTACAATGGAAGACATCGGTGACCTCATGTCCCCCCTGAGCCCTGAGATACGAGCTGAGGCAAGGAAGCAGCTGACCAGCACGGAGACCTCATACTACGACAACCTTGAGGAGGAGTGCCAAGCAGAGCTTGAGATGAAACATTTCACAAAGCGGACGCTGACCAGCGACATCATCCCGTACACGCTCAATACGCACCTAGCCAAGCAAGACCGACACAGGCCACACCAGAATGTTACCTTCCAGCCGAAGACGACGAGCAGGGTGATAACGATAAGCCGAACGCCCACGACGCCCAACACAGACAACGCTCCACCACCGACATGTCCACCCCCATCGCTCTACCCACTAGAATACGTCACGTGGGGCGAGCACGCGCTGACACAAGCTGTGAAAAGAGCCAAGCTACCCAACGGGCTAACTACGTCGCCAAATCACCGACTGCCTCTACCACGTCTACGGGTCGCCTACAAGTACTAAGGCGAGCAGGATGTGTTCAACACCCAGGTATACTACTTCAACTTGGACACGAAAAAGACGACGCGGGACGACCCAGGTAACGTGCTACTGGCCACGGGACGGAAGCGAGCCTTGTCCTCCGAGAACGACGAGTGTTTCTATGACGGCAGAGGACAACCAACACACCCACCTCCACAGAGGCCGAAATCGAGATTGCTATCGTCACAGGCACGATCATACAATGTAGACATATCGGTCCTCGAACCACCATCAAGAGGTACCAGAGCGAACCCGACTTCAAGAACGACGCGGGTATCTGTAAGTCCGCGACCGGCTTCCTCGACAACGACCAAGTGGTGGAAATGGCTACGACTGAGAGCCCGCAAGGACGCCTACTGACGTTACTGCTAAGCAACCAGGACGACAACCTAACCACACAGGAGTGAATCCTATGGATCATTGGCGAGATCCAGACCGCTCAGCCACAGCAGGATCCAACACACCGTCCAACCGACCGCACCGTACATACGACGAGCTACGTACCGCCACAGCCGATCGGGCACAGTCAGCACGAGAGATCAAGCAGCAGCCACACGACAGCTCCACCAACACAACGAGACCCGTGGACACCTTGGCCGATAGCTACACCACCAACGCCATTTGACAGCATCAACTTGCTGGCACCAGCTGGAGAGCCACGATACAAGGCCCCCCCGACGTCTCAACTGTATTCGAACCAGTTAGACAACGCAGACCCAGAAGGAGGCCAGACAACGGACATGCCGAACAATACACGTGACCATGATTATCAAGCGCAAGAGGTACCATCGAAGCCACTACCAGCGACTCCGCCAAGAAGCATGGGGAGCGCAGACAACGACGCTCTCGAACACACAGCCGGTGGTAAAGACCAGCGCCAACAGCATCCATGACTTAGGCACGTTTTTTTTAGATGGCCCCACCACATACAGACATGAGATCGGGTAACAGACTAAGCGAGCGGCACCAGGACTTGATCGAGCGGGTAACCAATAATATCAGCACTAGCCAATGCAGCCGCGAATCCAGGGACTTCAAGATACAGACCCACAAGCTCATGCCAGACTGCTCCGAGAAAGTGAGCAACGCGAGCAACAGCTTCGATCTGGACATCGCGGCAGACTCCAACATTCGGCTCGAGTACAACCAGGTCATGTACTACGTAGAGGCGTCTTTGAACTACGGCGAGTGACAATGTGAGGCGCGGATGTCCCGCATTACCAAACGCCAGATTCACTTCGCCCAGTTCGCTAACCACCAGCTAGCAGTGATGCTGACCTACAAAATCCATGGCGACTCAGACGACTTACCGTCACCAAGCGTCATGGCTACACAACGGCAGAGCATGTTCATGTCCATCAAGCTGGCCATGCGGTACAGCCCGACGTCCATGCCAACGCCCCTTCTGTTCACGCGTTTCCAGAGCATAACCGCGACAGTTGCAATGCAGAATATAGCCGAGCTCATCAACGCACAGGACCCTAGACCAGACGACTCAGCGAACAATTGCATCAGAGAGCAACAAGAACCGACACACCAGCATGAAAGACCCAGTCTGCCTAATCCAAACCTTGACACACCACCCAACCGACAAGCCGACCCACCAGAAGCAAGGCAGACGACTGGCCCGCCAAACCTGGCGCAACCGACACAGCCAGAAGAGTGCGACCATACCCAGGAGCCACCAAGACGCAACAGGTGGGCACCAATGACAGAGCATCCAAATTTGCAGAAGCAGCTCAACAACCGACAAGCAGTGACCAAACCGACAGCTGACCTCATCGCGTTGAGCAGCATCGACCAACCTGCGACGGCAGCTCGGGCCCTTGCCGACGACGTCAACCAAACCAAGCCGACAGAGAGCTCCTTGGGAGAAACCGACGCGCGTGGGCTTACGGCCACAAGCGACTACCAGCCGACGACAAGCATGCCAGCGAAGCACCGGCACGAAAGCAACCGGACCCACAGCGATGGCACACGCAAGGATGCCAACCCAGACGATGCCTCCGCCCCCTGGCCACCTTGGGAAATTTAGTACAAACAATACCGCAAGGACCAGCAGCCTGACGCACCTACGGCAAATCAGGATACTCCCCCCCTGATTGCCCACGACCAGGAGGCGAACGCCTCCCGACGGGGCCACCCTTGCAGCGGCCCGCCAGTGCGCCTGCCTCCCTGGCATGCACGTTACATCCAAGTTGCTTTATGACAGACAGGTTACTTTTCGCCAGCTCCTACATTCCGACGCCTCGCCTCGGCGTTATTCTGTGACTGAACAGTGCACGCTCACCGATGCGATCGACAGCGGCACAGCTGGACGCGCCATCTCCAGACCCACCTCTGACGGCAGCAGCAAGGGGCTCCTGCGGGCCCAACCAGCGACGACTACGTCAGGAACAGCTGTGCTATGCAGCGGGCCCCCGAGGGGCATTCCCACCCACGGAGCCATGCTAGATGATCCGGCGCGCCGCGCAAAGTCTCGGCAGATGTCGACGGCAACAGAAGAAGCCGCGCTATCAGGGGGCCCCTGAGGGGCACTCTCGCCCACGAGCTACGCTGCCGTAGCCGATGTGAATATTGAGAGGTGGCCTCCGCCAACCTCCAGACTCCCCTTCCTCCTGGCCTCCTTCTCGCGCCCCTTCCCCCCGCTTCATCTCGCTGACCTACTTCGCCCCCGACGGTGCGGCGGCGGGGTGGGTGGGGTGTTGGTTCAGGGCGGCCAGGGCAGGATCTCACCGCGGGCCGTCCTGGCAAGGGCCAGGCCGCGGCAGCAATCGCACTAGGAAGGCAATCGCGACATCTTGGGCAGCCACAGGTACCTGCCCCCGCCCGTGCAGCTTTGGTGCGCAGCTGCAGGCACCTCCAACCTCCAGCTCTGAGGTGCAGTCGCGACCTCAGGTCGCCTGCCACGCCATTAGATGTGGGGCGGGGGGTGGGCTCATGCTCAGGGTTGGGAAGGACAATGCCACGTCGACCGCGCCGCCGCCTCGGAAGACATAGACATCCCCCACGCATAGTGTAAATGCCCCAAGCGGCCCCCGCCTCCGCCATCTGGGTGCCCAGCTCCTGCCCTGCCTGGGAGGCCAGTGGCGGGGGGGGGGGGGGGGGGGGGGCGCTTCTGGGGATTCCCCACGTGCAAGGGGAGAGGCCTTTGTGCCTTCGCATGTGGCGAGAGTGGCCGGCCACGAGGGCCAGCGTGGCCACCCGCCACCGGCAGGAAGGCGCAAAATTCCACCAAGCTCGGTGGACCCGCCCCAGGCGGCCCCGAGGCATGCGCGCTGGGAACCCTACGCCTCCTCGCAGGCGAGGGATCCCGCCGCTTGCCTCGGGGGCGCCTGTGGGGGTTTCATTTGAGCAGATGGAGAGGCCCTTGCCCTTGCGCCTTCCCCCTGGCCGTGCGTGGACGAGGCCGCCACCGTCCACTGTCAGCGGCGCGCATGCCCGTGCACCTCCACCTTTATTAATTCCGTTCTAGGGTTTGAAGCAAGAGCTGATTTGTCAGATGGTCACGCATCTTTTCAACCACTTTAGTCCCGTCTCACCCTGGCTCGCTGTTGTGCCGTCTAGGAGCCAACGCCCCACCTCATAGCTCCAGGCTGTCACCCTGGCAGGGGTGCCAGGCTTGCAGGGCCCCGGGCGCGAACTGCCGCCGCGCCGCTCCACCTTTCCTGTCAGCTGCCACCTGCCTGCAACCCGTCGCCGTGCTTTCTACACCTCTCCCTCGCCTTGTTGGCGCGCCCGCCCCGACTCGCCGCGCTGCCTCGGCCCCGCGCGCCACGCATCCAACGCCTGACGATTTCTCCCATATTTTACCACACGACCATGCTCTTGGGGGCAGAGTAGCTGCCAGCTGCAGCCCCTCCCCATATCCTACCTCTGACAAAGCAAGGCGCCAGGGAACCCGGGGGGAGGAGGACCCTCCACGACGGGCCCAGCGGGCCCACCGCGAGCCGCGCTGCTACACACACACGCGGGCCACACCATATCATTTTCCTATTCCATTGTCTTGAGGTTCTGATGGATGATGTTGATGTATCCTGTCTCCCCCTCCTCCCTGCCTGTCTGCTTTATCTTGTCGCTCTACTTTTACATTCGACTCCCCCAAGGCTGGCTTTGGGCCAGCCCTGGGGGAAGCGGCAGTCCGGGGAGAGATGGTGAGAGAGGAGAGTTGCACTGTGGTGCAATTGTTGAGGATGTCCGTCCACATCTTCTTCTTCGTCGTCGCCGTCGTCGTCGTACTACTACTACTACTACTACTACTACTACTACTACTACTACTACTACTACTACTACTACTACTACTACTACTACTACTACTACTACTAGTACTACTACTAGTACTACTACTACTACCCTTACTACTACTACTACTACTACTACTACTACTACTACTACTACTACTACTACTACTACTACTACCACTACTAATACTACGACGACGACGACGACGACGACGACGACGACGACGACGACGACGACGACTACTACTACCGACCGACCGACCGACCGACCTACCTACCTACCTGCCTTCCTACCGACCTACCTTCGTACTACCTGCTACCTACTACCTACTACCTATTGCCTACTGCCTATTACTTACTACCTACTACCTACTACCTGCTACCTGCTACCTGCTACCTACTACCTACTACCTACCACTACCTACCTGCCTACCCACCTACCCACCGACCCACCCACCCATCCACCCACCCACCTACCTATCTAACTACCTACCTTCCTTCCTTCCCACCCCTACTCCTACTCGTACTCTGGCTCCTCCGCCTTCCCCCCCGTAGCTATTTCGGTTTAAGCTGTATGGTTCAAGACGGTTTGGTTTCTCTTCCCCTGCGGTTCAAGCGATATCGTGCGCGTTTTGAGTTTACGTGTCTGTTTATGCTCGCGTAGTCGGGCTGCCGCGACTTCCTCACGGACGAAGTGTGTGTGGGCATCCTTCTTCGTTGGCAGGACGGACGCTTCGGTCTCTAACGCGACAGGCCAACATTTTTCGGGGCTCAACAGAATTGTGTTCGCGACGAGGCACGCACGATCGATTGCCATTTGCAGGAGTCTGCAAGCCAGAATTCAGTTTCATCGGCACTTCACGGATGCATGGGGGGGGGAATTCTGCAGGGATTTGGACAGCCAGCTGGCTTCTTCATTTTTATGATGCAAGGGAGGTCCCACAGTGCCCCCAGATTTAGTATGGTTCGTGCATTTCGCACACCCCGTATGCGTCGTGATGCTCCCGAATTTCAACCACAACCCGCTCAGGTGGCCGTGTGCTCGTCGGTGCCTGCATTTTCTGGCGGATCCTCTACCGATGTATGACTCGCAGGTGGCTGCCGATGGATCCCCTTGTGAGCGATCAGACGGACTCTGTTGGAAAGCTCGAGAGCTGCTTGGAACGAGAGAGCACCCAGTCCTCCGACTCTTCGTCGTCCTCGTTGCTTTCTACCTCTTCCTCGGGTTCGGGTCTCCTTGAACGTGCGGACCACACGGATGCCTCAGCTGAGTTGCAGCGTCGCTATGATGAACTCACTGCGAAAATGGTATTGGGAGTGTTTGGGGCCACGCGTGGTGTCTATCAGGCTTCCCCCACCATGGCCAAGGAATCAATTCATGGTGGTGTAGCGTTTTTTTCCTCTTGCATGGGAACGCATGGATCCATTTTGATCCAATTACGTGTGTGCGGGAGTCACGTGGATTCAATGTCCGTGTCTTCTGGATCCAATGTGTTGGCGTGGAAGCTTCGTGGATCCAATTCTTTTGCTGGAATAAGTTCATAATAATAAGTAATACCAGGGACCCACAAGGAAATGGATACACGGAACCTTGGACCTGCAACCCAAACTATGATTCTACGGGGGAAGGGTTTCCCTACCGAGAGACACAACACACGGGGACGAGTAGGGAAACGCAAACCAGGGGCGGGCGAAGAGGAAGATGAGGGAGGAAGGGCGGAGAGGAGGGAGAGGACGACGACGAGGAAGAAGAGAAGAGACGAGAAAGAGGAGGAGGGCAAACGAAGAGTCAGGAGGAGGGGAGGAGGACAGCGGAGGAGGGAGGAAGAGGAGGGAGGAGGGAAGCGGAAGGGAGGCGGCAAAGGAGGAGGGCGGAGGGAAGAGGAGGAGGAGGACGAGTGAGAGGGAGGGAGGCATAAGGAGGGCGGGAGGAGGAAGAGCTAGGATGGACGAGGAGGAGGAGGAGGAGGAGGAGGAGGAGGAGGAGGAGGAGGAGGAGGAGGACGAGGACGAGGACGGAAGAGGCGGATGAGGGAGGAGGGAGGAGGAGGAGGGAAAACGACCGCGGTGCCCAAGTCGGGAGCTCGAGCGCCACAGCGGGCCTGGCCACCTCTCCGAACCTCTCCCATAACATGTCGTTGCTCGAGCGCCACAACTGCCCCGGCCAACTCCCGCAGCCTCCATAACATGAGGGTGCTCGAGCGCCACAGCGGGCCTGGCCAACTCCCGCAGCATCCCATAGCATATGCCGCACCCCACATGGACGCGAACGCGATATGATCGCTGCGTCCGCATCCGCGAAAGCCAACGACACTTCGCATTTGTCATCTGAGCCTCAACAGGAAAATCTTTCGGCCTGCTCAAGTATGTCATGGTTTGGTGTGTGGAAGATAATTCGTTCAGAGGTTTGATATTGTGAAGGTTTCTGAGCAGCGCATGTGTAGCACATTCTCTGCGTTGGTGGAAGAACTAATCGGGCAGGTCGCCGATACTGAACCGAGGATCAGCACGCTGCACACCGGAGAAGGGGACCGCCAGGAGGCCATCATTCCTTTCGTTTTGCAGTCTTCCCGCAGTCGCTCCCCGCCGGCATCGAGCGCGGCACCAGCCTCTTCTTGTGTTGCCCATCCCGTGTGCAAGATTGGGCGGCGATGTCATTTACCAGAGTGTGATTGAGGGCGAGTCTGTAGCGGGGTGGCGCAGGTGTGGCCCTCGTGGGTGCAGTGTGCCGCGCAGCGCCAGCCCTCTCCAGATCAGTTTCATCGATTCGCCTGTCAACTTCTTTACGTTTGAAGAGGTTATCCTCGATGACACCATGGACGAGTTCCTAGGAGGAATGCGCAGCATGGGTGCCTTGTTCAACGTCCCGCCCGAGCCTGACATCGATTGTGCTGTTTCGCGTGGCTGTCGCGTTGTCAACGCTGAGCGAGCTCAGATTCGTCTTCTTACTTGTCGATTTGCCGGTGCCCGTCGTCAGGTACAGCCTCTGCGTGTGGGGGTTCCTTGTAGTGCTCACGGTGGGAAGTTTTTTCCGTCCTGTTCGGTGAGTATCGCGTCGTCGCGTTTTTACCTGCGCTGAGTTTTTTCTCTTGCAGCATCGCCCTCCCTGTGTCGATTCTTGCCTTTTGCCTACATTCATGCCCGGTCTCTTGGGGTGCGGAGTCGCCGTGGTCATAATTCAAACGTTTCTCGGGATTTTCCGCCTCCTCCTCTTTCCCTCGTCCTCCTCCTCCTCCTCCTCCTGCTGCTGCCGTTTCATTTCCTCCTCCGTCATCCGTCCTCCTCCTCCTCCTCCTCCACCTCCTCCTCCTCCTGCTCCTCCTGCTCCTCCTGCTCCTTCTCCTCGTCCTCCTCGTCCTCCTCGTCCTCGTCCTCCTCCTCCTCCTCCTCCTCCTCCTCCTCCTCCTCCTCCTCCTCCTCCTCCTCCTCCTCCTCCCCCTCCTCCTTTTCATCCCTCCTCCTTTCCCGCCCCCTTTCTATCCACCTCCCTCATTGCCCCCCCCCCCTCTCCGCCGACCGCCAGCCGCCGAGTGCCGCCGCGAGCGCCACCGCGGCGGGACCTTTCCGCGCGCCGAGGAGGGGGACCTGCTTCCGATGAACGTGAAGGCCGTGGGCTCGACCGATTGGGGCGGCGGGGAGGGCAAGGAGGTCCCGAGGTCTGGGGGAGAAGGGGGGAGGTAGGAGGCGAAGGGATGAGAGAGGAGGCAGGAGGGACGAACGATGAGGGACGAGGGACGAGACGGAGGAGGAAAGGGAGGAGGACGAGGAGGACCAGTGTAAACCCAAGAGTGATAAACGACGTTGGAAAAAAAAAACCTCCAAGCTCCCTCTTCACAGCCCCCTACAACGGTTCATTTCCACAGTGGGAAGTGCCTTCTCGGAAGACAACCGTTTGAAGACCCTGAAGCATGCGAGCTCTCGGGATTCCAACGCCACTGGTCAACCTGACTGTGTGTCTCGACGATCCTGGATTGTATCAGAACGCCATTCATGGGATTTCAACACCGCGAACCAATGTAACTGTTGCACTACCATCATCTTTAATTGCTCCAAAACACCATGTCTGGTATTTTGGATCACGGGAATCCGTGAACATTTTGCACATGTATAAACGCTGAGTGTGCGAGATTGTGCGAGGCGCTTAGACGAGAGCTACATTTTGAAAAAGAGCCGCCCTCAATCCGTGAAGCTCCTACAATTGTTTAAAGCGAATTTGCGCGGCGCTTAGGCGAGAGCCACATGTTGAAAGGAACCGCCCTCAATCCGTGAGGCCCTTGCAAGGTTTTACAACGAATTTGCGCAGCGCTTAGGCGAGAGCCATATTATTTTGAAAGGAACCGCCCTCAATCCGTGAAGCCCTTGCAAGGTTTTAAAACGAATATGCGCGGCGCGCAGGCGAAAGCCATATTTTGAAAACGACTCGCCCTCAACTTGTGAAGCTCTTGCAAGAATTGATAAAAGAATGTGCGAGGCGCCAATGCGACAGCCGCATTTTGAAAACGAGCCGCCTTACATCAGGGTCATAAATGGTGAGGAAGTCTCAGGCGAAAAGGCCCAGCCCGCCCTAAAAACGGGTTTCGGGGTGCGACAGGGAGAAGTTAATTATTAGGAAAAGGAATGGAGGAGGAGGAGGAGGAGGAGGAGGAGGAGGAGGAGGAGGACGGAGGAGGAGGAGGAGGAGGAGGAGGAGGAGGACGGAGGAGGAGGAGGAGGATGAGGACGGAGGACGGAGGAAGGAGGACAGAGGACGGAAGAGGAGGAGGACGGAGGACGGAAGAGGAGGGGGAGGAGAAGGAGGAGGAGGAGGAAGAGGTTGATGGCGCTGCTCTTTCTGGCGGCGCCTGGGGTGACATCTACAAGTGCACAAAAGGGAGGATCTGCCTTGGGCCTCGCGGAAGCAGCTGGCCGCCCTGGTGCAGCTGGGCCACGCGGCGCCCTTGGAGCCGTGAGGGTTCGGGCGCTGGGTGTGCACGTGCGCTATAGGTGCGCGGGCCGCTCGGCTCGGGACGCTGGTCTCTCTCTCCTCGCGTGCCGTGCGGTGCCGCCCTCGCGGTGGACCCAGGAGTGTTTCCTCCGGGGGCTCCTGGGGCTGCGCTGGCAGGGCGTCTTGAGTCGGGTGGTGGCCGTTTCCTGGGCCGTTTCTCGGGTCGTCTCTGGGTCATTGCCGCCGTGCTTCTTCTTCCCTGGGCATCATGTAATAGGGGCCTGCAGTGTGCTATGCTATCTACGGAGGCCTGTGTCTTCCCATTGGTCCGCGCGCGTTCCCTTCCCCCTGTGCTTCCGTGCTCCTTACCTTCTCCCTCTATCCCTCCTCCCTCTATCCCTCCTCCCTCCATTCCTCATCCATCCCTCCTTCATCCCTCCTCCATCCCTCCACCATCCCTCTTCTTCTTATTATTATTATTTGTCTTCCTCCTCCTCCTCCTCCTCCTCCTCCTCCTCATCCTTCTCCTCCTCCTCCTCCTCCTCCTCCTCCTTCTCCTCCTCCTCCTGCTACGCCATGGTAAGGGATGGGAGGTAGGGGTAGGACGTCAGATATGACGCGAGCGCACCTAGCTTGATCTATCCCCTCCCCTCCCCGCCCCTCACCTTCCCTCCCTCCTCCGCCTCCATCCTTCAATTGCCCAATCTGAACACTAGTCTCCTCTCTCCCCTGACCCTGTTCGGAAGATCCCTGACACCCCTCCGCGTCCTGAATTTTTACGCAGGATTGGGCCGAGTTGGTTGTCCTGCCTGTTTTGAACATTCGATTATGTTCGGTCACTCCAAATGGTGCTCCCGCTGCCGCGTGGGCCACATCTTCGGATCGGCGCTGTGCTCCCGTCGTCCAGAACGGCGCTTTCGCCTCAGTGCGGGCCACTTTTCTGGATCCGAGTCCTTCCTCATCGTTGTCGCCCCCCTCATTTCCCCTCGTCCTCCTTCCCCTGGTCCTCCTGCTCCTCCCACTCCTTCAACTCCAGTTCCTGTTGCTGCTGTTCGCCCTCGTCCTCCGCCTTCCTCTTCCTCCTCCTCCTCCTGCTGCTCCTCCTTCTTTACCTCCTGCTCATCCTCCTGCTCGCCCGCCACCTCCTCTTTTTCCTCCTCCTCCTCCTCCTCCTCCCTTCTTCCTCGTCCTTCCTCCTCCTCCTCCTCCTCCTCCTCCTCCTCCTCCTGTGTTCGCAGCTCCCCTGTTTTCATTGCGCATGACACGATGGGGTCTTCTGGGAGCTCCAGGTCGGCTGTGGCCCGCACCCGCGGATAGGGGAAAAATCCACGCCCACCGCCCCCCCTTCCCGTTCCCCCCTTGCCCCTCCCCCTCCTCGCTCAGTCTCGGCCGGCGCGGGAGGGGGCCAGCTGTCGGATCGCCGCCGCGGCCGCCGAGCAGTCCAGGTCGGCGACACCGTCGTGGTGCCCGAGTACGGCGGCATCACGCTCAAGCTGGACGACGAGGACTGGCCGCCCGGGTTTGCCTCCGACGACGCGGATTTTTTCAGTGCGTGTATTTCTCGACGTCTGCCTCCGGGGGGGCCATTCCGGGCCGCAGGCCCGTCAAGAAAAATATGGGCGTCGAACAGCCAGCCCTCGGGAAGGGGTTGAGAGCTCTCGCGGTCCATATCCTCTTGGGATCTCTTGGGGCTGCCCTGGGTCGTCTGGGGGTACCTCGGGGCCCTCATTGGATGTTTTTGGCTTGTCTTTGGCTCCTCCGAGGCCCTCTTGGAGCCGTCTTGAACCCAAGGGTCTTGGAAACGCCAAGTATCAAAACAGAGGGACTTCATCACGTGTTTGAGTGACTTGGGGCTTCCTGGAGGGCGTCTTGGCATTCTCGCTGGTTTCTCGGAAGCCTCGTGGGGCCCCCCTTGGTGCCTCTTGGGGTAGTGCTGGGTGCTGTTGGTTGCCTCTGGAGGCAATGTTGGGCTATGTGGGCAGCATTGGTGGGCTTCCTGGGCCGTCGCAGAATCCCTGGAGAGCCCCAGGGCAGCGCGAGTGCAGTTACCCTCCTATATATATATATATACGGTTTCCGAGGCTTGCGCAGGGCCTCCAAGCGAGTCCCTGGATGCAAGAAGCGGCAACCATGATGTTCCATGATTTTGCCCATCCTAGCTAGAACATGAGCGCGCGCGAAGCGCGCGATGGTTATATATATATATATATATATATATGTGCATGCATGCATGTATGTATGTGTGTACATGTATGTATGTTTGTATGTATGTACTTATGTATGTATGTATGTATGTATGTATGTATATATGAATGTCTGTATGTATGTATGCATGTATGTATGCGTGTGTGTATGTATGTATGTATGTATGTATGTATGTATGTATGCATGCATGCATGCATGCATGTATGTATGTATGTATGTATGTATGTATGTATGTATGTATGTGTGTGTATGCATGTATGTATGTATGTATGTGTGTGCGTGCATGTATGTACGTATGTGTGTATGTATGTATGTATGTATGTATGTATGTATGTATGTATGTATGTATATATATGTATGTATGTATGTATGCATGTATGTATGTATGTATGTGTGTGTATGCGTGTATGTATGTATGCGTGTATGTATGTGTGTGTATGTATGTATGTATGCATGCATGCATGCATGTATGTATGTATGTATGTATGTATGTATGTATGTGTGTGTATGTATGTATGTGTGTGTATGTGTGTATGCATGTATGTATGTATGCATGCATGCATGCATGCATGCATGCATGTATGTATGTATGTATGTATGTATGTATGTACGTATGTATGTATGAATGAATGTATGTATGTATGTATGTATGTATGTATGCATGTATGTAGTTATGTATGTATGTATGTATGTATGTATGTATGTATGTATGTATGTATGGATGGATGGATGGATGGATGGATGGATGGATGGATGGATGGATGTACATATGTATGTATGTATGTAATGTATGAATGTGTATATATATATATACACATACCAGACTGCATTGGCGCTTCGCGCCATGCACCTTGTTCCTTGTGAGTTCGAATGCAGGCGGCGCGCGCGCGCGTGGACGCGGGGCCGGCCACCTCCGAGTCGGAGTGGGGCAGGATCTGCGACTTGACAACGCCAGCTCTGGCCAGCTCAGGGCGTTTCTGTGCCCAGAGGCGCGAGTAAGTCTCTGGCGTAGCATGACGCAGGGCATCCTGCTCCTCGTGCTCTTCCTCCGCATTTTCCTCCCCCCTTTTTCTCCTCCTGATCTCCAGCTCCAAGACGTCTCCAACTGAGTCCCCTGATGAGCCCCAAAGAGGTCCAAAGCTGGCGCAACAGGCTCGGAGAGTGGGAGAAGTAGAGAAAAAACTTTAGAAGAACAGTGTTTTCGGCTTTCCCGCTTTTTCAGTCCCGGTTGACCTGTGGGGCGTTTAGACGACCCCAGGACGGCCACAGGGAGGCGCAAGACAGGCCCGAGGATTCGAAAGTCTTTTGGGGGTGGGCGGGGGGGGGAAGCGCTCCCAGCCCTATAGGCCCGGAGAGGGGGTCCCAGAGATGGGCAAACGCAGGATAATCATGGGAAAAGCAAGAATTTGGTCTTTTCGCCTTGTTGCTTCCAGATGCCTCCAAGGCGGCTCCAGATGAGGCCCCTGTCGAGCCCCAAAGAGGCCCAAGGCTGGCGCAACAAGGCCCGGAAAGTGGGAAAAGCAGAGAAAACGCAGGAACAAAAACAATGATTTCGGCCTTTTCGCTTGTACACTATCGCTTGACTCGGGGGGCGTCAAAACCACCCCAGGATGGCCACAGCAAGGCGCAAGACAGGCCAGAGAAGGCGAAATTCGTTTTTGGGGGGGGGCGCTGGGGTGTGGGCTCCCCGGCCCTATAAAGATAAATTTCACTAGGACTATATGTATATTACCTTTCATCTAGTTTCATGACTTCGGACTCTGCGGAAACTCTGGCCCCCCTGAAACGGGACCCCGCGGATCCGTGGCCCCATGGGCCCCCTGGACGCCCCTGCCAGGAGACACCCCAAGCTTCCCGTAACTCCTGGAAGCTCCTGCTAGGCCTAGGCAATGGGCCTAAATCGGTCAGGAGGGCGGCTGGACGGCCCCCCGAGGGCCCCAGGAAACCCCAAACACCCACGGGACGCCCAAAAGACGACCCAAAGAAGACCTCCCCAAAGTTTCTAAACGCAGGGAGTTATTGATTTTCAAGGGTTTGTGCATCATTTGGGGAATGCTCCGTTTTTCGGTCTTCTGGGCTTCCGAGACCGCCCAGGAGGCCCGAACATCTCCCCCAAAACTATTCAGAAGGGCTTCCACGCAGCCCAAGAGAGCTCCAAGGCGGCTCAACAGGGTTCCAAGATGGCCCGACGAGAGCCCCATGACGGCCCAATATGGCCCGAGGAAGCTTGTTGAGGCCCCCAGAAGGCGCCCAGGAGGCCTCCAAAAGGCCCCAAGAAGCCTTTTAAAAACTTGCGTGAGGCCCCCAAGAGGCTCTCCAAGCAGGAGCCTCCGCAAAAAGAGCTGAGGCAGGAGGAGGAGAATTCGCAGGGTAGGGCGACAATGAGGAAGAGAAAGAGGAATCATGAGGGAAGGATAGTGAATAACATTATTTGAGCGGCGATGCCCGAACATGCAACGAGGTGTTATCGCTGAATTGTCGGTTTGGCCTTCCTCTTGATCCACCTGCATGGCAAGCTTCAAGGACCAAGGTGCGTGGCGCGAAACCCCAAAGCAGTCTAGTACGCATATGCGCAGTTATCTTGCACTTTTGTTTCTGGCAGCTGCTTCGATGTCCAGCCAGTCGCGCCGCGTTGCTGTGCCGGCCTCCACTTCTTCTGCTCCTCCTGCCTTCTCCTCCCGCTCCCGCCTCCTCCTTCCCGCCCTCTGCTCCACCTCCGCCGCGGCCATCCTCGGCCCAAGGTGGTCCCTGCGGTGACCCTGCCCGAGCCCCGCCCCCGCCACCCGCCGCCGTGGAAGCAGGACCACCCCGCGCGCGCGGCCTCGGTCGCCGCCCAGCGTGCCACCCCGCACCCCGCCAGATGGCACGCCGCGCGTCGCCGCTGCGCGCCTGGCTGGTCGCCTCGCTGTGGGTGGTCGCTGCCCGAGGCGACGTCTACCTGCACAACCCGCGGGGCTCCAACAACAAGCTCTCGGAGCAGAACAACAACGTGGCAAACAACCAGCGCCTGTTCGACTCCCAGAACAACAACCAGGGCGGATACCAGATCGGTGACAACTGCCAGCCTGTTTGCCAGGACGCCAACCGCAACTACGATGAGAGCCAGCCTGGTGCGATGAAGGGCCAGCTGACCTTCTACGCGGGCTCCGAGCTCTACATCGAGTGGGCCTTGCAGCACTCCTGTGGCTTCGGCAACCCAAACACGATATGTCAGGTGATCCTGCAGTACATGTGCGACAGCGATAACCCAGGGCTGCGCGACGGCGTCAAACGAGGGAATGAGAACACCGCCGGCGGCGAGCAGGAAATTGGGCTTGTCTTTTTTGTTTCCCCTCGTGTTTTTGGTTCCCCCTCGGGGTGTCGTCGGGGGGGGGGGTCTGGTAGTTTTTTCCCCCCCCCTCCCTGGGGGGGGCAGGGGGGGGGGGCGGGAACCTCGAGTCTGTTTTTTTTGTTGTTTCCCCCTCGGAGGCCTTTTTTGTTCCCCCGCCTCGTGTCTCTTTTTTTGTCCTCTTTTTGTGTCCGTCGGGGGGGGGGGCGGGGGAGGGCCCAGAGGCCTCGAATCTGTTTTTTTGATCCCCCTTGGAGGCCATTTGTTTGTCCCCTCGTGTTTTTGTTCCCCCCCTCGGGGGGAGTGGGGGAGGCGGCGGGGGCGAGGGCGGAGGGGCGGCGGGGGCGAGGGCGGGATGGGCGGGGAGGACCCAGAGGGGGCCCTGGGGGGGGGAGGAGAATCGCCTGGGGATCTCGCCCGGGGGGGGTCCAGGTAGGGCTCCCCGGGAGGGGGGGGGCGGGCAGGCGCCCGAGCGTGCCGTCTCGCTTCCAGCGCGTTTTTTTGTGCTGTCAGCGTACACAGATTGTGATGATGAAGATGAGTTTGATGATGGCGATGATGATGATGATGATGATGATGATGATGATGATGATGATGATGATGATGATGATGATGATGATGATGATGATGATGATGATGATGATGATGATGATGATGATGATGATGCTGATGCTGATGATGATGCTGATGATGATGATGATGATGCTGATGCTGATGATGATGATGATGATGATGATGATGATGATGCTGATGCTGATGATGATGATGATGATATGAGGATGATGATGATGGTGGTGGTGGCGTTGATGATGATGATGATGATGATGATGATGATGATGATGATGATCATGGTGATGATGATGATGATGGTGGTGGATGGTGATGATGATGATGATGATGATGATGATGATGATGATGGTGATGATGATGATGATGATGATGATGATGATGGTGGTGGTGGTGGTGGTGGTGGTGATGATGATGCTGATGATGGTGGTGGTGGTTGTGGTGATGATTTTGGTGGTGGCGGTGTCGTTGATGATGGTGATGACGACGACTAAGATGACGATGACGATGACGATGATGAGGAGGCGGAGGAGGAGGAACTGCATCAGTGCCAGTAGCAGTAACATCAACATTAATAGGTAAGAGGAACAGACGCGGTAGCCTGAGCATCGGCAGGAGCAAGGAGCCATGAGCAGGGAACACGGGCTGAGAGCTAGGGAATGGGAGCTAGGATGAGGATGTAGGGAAATAGAGGACGAAAGAGAAGAGAGAGGAGGCGGGGAAGGAGGAGGAGGAGGAGGATCATAATAAACCCAGGATGCAACAACGATTCTGGAATACACTCTCCTGTCCCAAGACCCCTCCGCAGAATCCCCATACAAGCGTTCCTTCTGCAGTGCGGGAAGCGCTCCCTTGAAAGGTAGCGCCCCATCGGCCAAAGCCCTGTCTTGAAAAGATCCGCCCTCTACCCGCGTAGCGGATGTGTAAGTATCGAGCTGCTTGCGAAAGGTCCCGCAACCGTGCCAGTCCAGCATGCTCGGCTGCTCTCGTTCGAGAGGGCAGCAGATGCCGTTCTCGCGAGGGGTGAACAACATGATCGTAGATAACGGTGATGATGAGGAAGATGATTAGGATGCTAATGGTGATATGATAACGACACAGTCGACGATTATGATGTTGATGCTGATGATGATGGTGGTGGTGATGATGGTGATGATGATGATGCTAATTCGTTGATGATGATCATTCGGACCCTTTGCGCGCTTCCACGCGGAAAAATCACCCTAAGGCCAGAGCGCCTACAAACCCAAGATCCTGAGACCCTAAGACCTTAACACCCTAAGGCCTTAAGACCCTAAGGTCCTAATATCGTATGACCCGAAGACCCTAAGACCATAAGACCCTAAGACCCTAATCCTCGAATGCCTCAGTACCATAATGATATAATGCCCTAGTACCCTAGGACCCTAACACCCTAGGACCCTAAGACCCTAAGAACCTACTACCCTAACGCCCTAATACTTTAAGACCCTCAGATTCTAATAGCCCAAGACCCTAGTACCAGATTACCTTTAGATATTAAGACCCTAAGACCCTGAAGTCCTACGGCCTTAGCACCGGGACGCGTCAAGACCCGAATACCCTAAGGCCCGAACGTCATAAGGCCCTAAGACCGTAAGACCCTAAGACCGTAAAACGCCAAACCCATAAGACCCTAGCATCCTAAAGCCAGAGGGCTTTGGGAACCTAACACCCTAAGACCCTAAGGCCCTCAGACCCTAACCCTAAGACCCTACCACCAGGAAGCCCTAACACCCGAAGGCCCTAAGACCCTAACACCATAACACCCTAAGACCCTTACCACCTTAACACCCAAATGCCCGAATACCCTCACACCCTAATACCTTAATTCCCGAATGCTATAAGACCCTAATACCTTAATACCACAATGCGCTAACACCGTAAAGCCCGAACACCCGAATACCTTATATCTAAATACCATAAGGCACTCACACCCTTAGACCCTAAGGCCCTGACACGCTAGACCCTAATACCCGAATGCCGTCATACCTCAACTCCATCAGGCCCTAACACCCATCGACCCCACGACCCGAAGGCCCGAACACTCTAGAGCCCTAAGACCCGAACACCCCAAAACCCTACGGGCTGAAACCTGACACCCAAACGCCCGAAGGCGCCCATACCCTAATACCCTAACGCCCTAACGCCTTAATGCTCGAATACCTTAATACTCCAACACATTAGTATGTACCTTATTACCATCCTACCGTACCACCCTGCTACCACAATACACCAGTATCTGCAACCCCGAAGACCCTATTACCTTAATGCCCGAACGCCTCAATGCCACACGACACTAAGACCCAAAGGCCTCTCGACCCCTAAGACCCTAACACCCTAGAGCCCTACAGTCCGAATACCCTGACACCCTAAGGCCCTAATACCCTGATGGCCTAACACCATAAGTCCTTATTGCCCTGATACCCTGAGACCCTAATACCGTGACCCCCATGATATCTTAATGCCGGCATGCCCGCATACCGGAATTCCCGAATGCCCCATTACTCTAATGCACTAGCCTGCGAACACCCTAATACACGAATGCCCTAACACCCTGAGACCTTAACACACGAACTGTCTAATACCCGAACACGCGAGCATTCTGAACCACAGTACCTTAACACCACAATATTTTGATCCCTGATACCCGAATACCCTAATACCCGAATCTGCCCACAGTACCTTAATACCACAATATTCTGATGCATGGATACTTCGAAACCATCAGGCCATAACACCCGAAAGCCCGTATATTTTGATACAATGATACACGAATACCCGGATACCCAAATAAGCTAATACCATAACACATGCCCCTAATACGCGAACGCACAAACACAATAATACCATACTGCCCCATTACCCTATGTCTGAACACCCAAGCAACCTAAGACAAGACCCGAATATTCGAACACCCTAATACTCTAAAACGTTGACGCCCTAATACCCGAATACTTGAGTACCCTAATACCGTAACGACCGAACGCTCTAACACCTTAATACTCCAATACGCTAACACCCTAACGCCTTCATATCCTAGGGCACCAGTACCCTAAGTCCTTGAGACCCTGGTACCCGAAGATTGTAATACACAGATGCTCTGATACGTTCATTCCCGAAAACCCTCAGGACCTAACACCCTAAGGCCCTAAGACCCGAATGCACCAATACCGTAATACCCTATGACCCTAACTCTTTAAACCCCTAAGATCCACAAGTTCCCCATACCCTCAGGCCCCGAGACCCTAAGTCCCTGAGGCCCAAAGACCCTGGCACCTCGACGCCCTAACACCCTGATGCCGTAGTACGCTGATATCTTCATGCCGTAGTGCCCTAATGCCCCAATGCCCCAGGACCCTAAGACCCGAAGGCCCCAAGACTCCAATGCCGTAAGACCCTACTGCCTAAGACCCTAACATTTGAAACACCAATACGCCAAGGCCCTAATACCATAACGCCTTAACGCCGTAAGACCTTAAGACCCTAAAACCTGATTCGTCAATACCCTCAGACCTTACCTGAGACTCTAATACATTACATCCTAACTTCTGACGCCCTAATACCCGGATGCCCTAGTACCCTAAGACCTTGGGGCCCGAAAACTTTAAGGCCTTGCGAGTCTAGCACACCAAGGCCCTAAGGCCCGAATGCCCTAGACCCAAAGACCTGAACCCCCTAAAACCATAACCCCCTAAGCGACAGAGAACCTAAGACACTTAGGCAATAATACGCTAAGACCCAAAGACCCTGAGCTCCCAAGGCCCTTATACCCTAAGAGCCTAAGGCTCTAATATCATAACACCCCAAGGCCCTAACACTCGAAGACCCTAAAATCTAAGACCCTAACACACTGAAAGCTTGAATGCCCTGATATCCGAACACTTTACGGCCCTCAGGCCCTACGACTTTAAAGACCCTAAGACCTTGAGGCCACAAGGCTCTAAGACCCTAAGGCCCTAAGCCTCTAATACCCTAGAACCCGAAGACCCTGAGTCCCTGAGACTCTAAGACACGAAGACCCTAAGACCCGAGGGGGCGAATACTTTGATATCCTGATGTCGGAAAATTTCAGCATCCTAATGATACAGGAGAAAGACCCAATCATAATCTCTTCAGGGCTATAGGAGTATGGGGCTATAGGGCTATACGGCTCTCGGGCTATAGGGCTGTAGGGCTATAGGGCTATAGGGCTATAGGGCTATACGTCTATAAGATTATAAGGCTATAAAGCTGTAGGGCCATAGGGCTATAAGGCTATAGGGTTATAAGCTACAGGGCTATTAGGGCTATTAGGGCTATTAGGGCTATAGGGCTGTAGGGCTATAGGGCTATAGGACTATAGGGTTATAGGGCTATAGTGCTATAAGCTATGAGGCTATAGGGCTAAAGTGCTACCGGGCACCCGGGCACCCAGGCACCCCCGGGCACCCCCGGGCACCACCGGGCACCCCCGGGCACCCGGGCGCCCGGGCTGGCCACCGAAATCGGCGACGAACCTCACCTAACCATATGAATCCGCTAGAACCCCTGCAAAGACAAGCTCTGATTGGGGAAGGAATACCATGAGACCCTAATCCCTCAATGGTCTGAGTCCCGACTGCCCGAAGACCAGAATACCCCTAACACTTAATACCTGAATGCCCTCTAACCCTATGACCCTAAGACCTATGATGCACTGATATCCTACCCAACACCCTTATAGCCAAATACCCTAAGACGCTAATACCCTGACCCTGAAGTCCCGTCATCCTACGACCCTAATACCCGAAGGCCCTAAGACCCTAATATCTGTCACCTCAATGCCCGAATGTCCGATTATCTTAACACGTTATACTTTAATACCCTCGGGCATCCGTGCACTGATACACGACTGCCGTACTATCTTGATGCCATGAAACCGGAGAAAAACCCAAACATATTTTTGTTGGGGCAATGGGGCTATGTGGGCTATTGGGGTATAGTGATATAGGGCTATTGGGCTATTGGGCTATAGGGGCTATAGGACCTTAGGGCTATAGGGCTATATGGCTCTAGAGCTATAGGGCTCTAGGGCTCTAGAGCTATAGGGCTCTAGGGCTCTAGGGCTATAGGGCCATAGTGCTATAGGGCTATAGGGCTATAGGGCTATAAGGCTATAGGGCTACAGGGCTATTGGGCTATATGGGCTATATGGGCTATTGGGCTATTGGGCTATTGGGCTATAGGGCTATAGAGCTATTAGGCTATAGGGCTATATGGCTATAGGGTACCAGGGAGCCCCCGGGCACCTCCAGGCACCCCCGAGCACCCGGGCACCCGGGCACCCACGGGCACCCAGGCACCCAGCGACCCGGCCACCGGCCACCGAAATCCTGGGGCACCGGGCACCCACGGGCACCCGGGCACCGGGGCATCCGGCCGCCGGCCACCAAATCGGCGCCGCACCTCACCTAACCATATGAATCCGCTAGGACCCCTACAGAGGCAAGCTCTGATTGGGGAATAATGCCCGAAGGCCCTAAGACCCTAATACCCGACGACCCTAAGACCCTAAAGTCCGAACATCTTAAAGGCCCTAACACCCGCAGACCCGAACATTTAGAACCCTGGACCTTAGCCCCCCCTAAGGCTCTGACACCGCAAGATCCTACGACACCATAACACCATAAAGCCAAATACCCTAACGCCTTCAGACCCTTAGACCTTAGGAAGCTAAGATCCTGAGACCCTAATGCCCCAGTGCCCTAAGACCCGAACGCCTTAATACCTTAAGACCGTAAGACCCTGATATTGAAATTCCTTAATATCAGAATGCAATCATACCCTCACACCCAAAAACCCGAATACGCGAATACCCAAAAACCCTATTGCCCTAATACCCTAACACCCTAATGCCCGAAGGCCCTAAGGCTCGAAAGCCCCCACGCCCGCAGGCCCTAAGACCCTACTGCCCGAGAACCTTTTTAAATCCGAATGCTTGAGTACTCGAATGCCCGCCTCAATACCCAAAGACCCTAAGGCCCTGAGGCCCTAAGACCCCGTACCCTACGACCCTACTTCCCTAAGGCCGTGATGCTATAAGACCCTAATGCCCTAAGACCCTGACCCTAACACACTAAGACCCTACGACCTTCGTGCCCTAAGACCCTGAGACCTTCATGCCCTCATACCATAAACTTCTAATGTTTTAATCGACTGACACTCTGATACCGTACCATATTAACACCTCAACGCCAAAATACCATCATACCTTAATGCCCTAAGACTCGAAGGCCGTGAGACCCGAATACACTAATACACTGAGATTCGAATACACCATTACGCGAAGAACCGAAGACCCCAAGTCCCCGAGACCCAATACCTTGATACCCTAACTCCTAATACATTACCGCCCGGATTTCCAAACACCCCAGTACTCGAAAATCCGAAGACCCGAATGCCCTAACACCCTAATGCAATAAAACCTGAATGCACTAATACCTTAATACCCGAACACGTCAATAGCAGGAATCCATACCCTAATTTCATCATACCCTATGACCCTCAGACACGAATGCTCTAGGGCCCCAAATCCGTAAGACTCTAATACCCTACGGCTTCAAGTCAACAATGTGTTATCGCGTGTCCAGGCCACCCCGAGGGGTATCAAACATGGTGTCCTCGAGCTGGGGCCACGCGTTCTCACGACGTGTCCTGACAACCCAGAGGTGTATCTAACATGGCTGCCCCTAGCTGGAACCTTCTTTTCCACGTGTCCAGGCCCCGCAGTGTGGTATCTGGCATGGCGGTCCCGAGCAGGGCCCACGTGTTTTCACATGTCTTGGCCACGTAGAGTGGTACCACACCCTAAGACTTTTCAGACCCTAAGACGCTAACCTCCCGCAGGCCCTGGCACCCTAAGGCCCTTTATACCCCAAGACCCTGAGACTCTAAGACCTTGAAGCCCCGAGACCCTACCACCCCGACGCCCAAACACCCTAACACTTTAATGCGTTGATGCCTTCAAGCCAACATATTATAATACCCAAGTGCTCCCATATCCCCTCAGACCCTATTCCCCTCATACCTTAATCCCTGCAGACCCTGTTTCCCTAATACCCGAACACCTCGTGCCTCAATGCCCCAAGGCCCTAATACCACAATGCCCTAATACCCTAGGGCCCTAAGACCCTAAAACATAATTCACCAAAGCCCTGCTACCAGACTACCTGAATACACTCGCACCCGAATGCGATTATACCTTACAACCTTGAGGCCCGAATACCTTAAGAACTTAAGACCCTTAGATCCAAACGCCCTGAAGGGCTTAGACACCCTAGGACCGTAATGCTTAATACTCTCACGCCGTGAGACCCTCGGACCTGAACATCTTAGTACATTATGACACCCTATGACCCTATGACCCGAAGGCTCCAGGGCCCTAAGGCCTATTACGCCAAGACCCACAGACCCTGAGACGCCAAGGCACTGAGACCATAAGACCCTACTACACTAATACCCGATTGCCCTGATACCATGATACCGTAATGCTTCAATACACTAAGACCCCGAAGATCTTCCCCCCCCGATACCTACCCAAAGACCCTAATACCCTCAGGCCAGCAGACCCGAACACCTGATACCTCAATACCCTAGGCCGTCTAACACACTAGCGCCCTGATACCCTAGTACCTTAACACCTGAATACCCGAACACCCTAAACCCAAAGACCCGAAGACCCGACTACTTTAAACCCCCAACGTCCTAAGACACTAAGACCCTAACATCTAATATCTCAGTACCCCAAGGGCCGAAGACCCTAACACCCTATACCATAATACGCGAATGCCTTTTTACCCTAGCCCCCTAATACCCTGATGCCCGAATGCTCTGATACCTAATAACGTAACGCTCTAAAACCCGTTTCCCCAACAACCTGAAGTCCTAAGACCCTAATTCCCTCAGACCGTATGACCCTAAAGCCCTAAGACCCGAATGCCGTCAACCTTGGAAGTCCTCTTGGAGGCCTCTTGGGGCGTTTTGGAAACCTTTTGAGCCGTCTGGGGCTACTTTGGCGACCTGGACCGATACTTCGGCGATTCGGGGCCCTCGAGGACCGTCTTGGGGGCAATTTGGGGTATTTTTGCCGCGTCCTGCTGCTTTTCTTCGCCGCCCAACCGCCCGAGGGGGAGTCGTGTCTGCCCCGGGACCCCCCTGGGACCCCTCCTCCGGGACACCCCCAGGACCCCACCCGGGACCTCACCCCCAGGACCCCCCCCTCCCTGGCGGGGAAGGGATCAAAGGGAAGGGGCTTCCTTTCGACTCAACTACAACGTTGCTCAGTTTCGCTGTGGCTGGCGCGCTCGAGGAGGAGAACCCGGCGAAAGTGGGGGGAACGGCGACGGGCCTAGGGAAAAGGGGAGAAGCGAGCGGCGAAGGCGACGACGACGACGACGACGACGACGACGACGACGACGACGACGACGACGACAACGACCACGACCACGACGACGACGACGACGAGTCAAACGGAAGAGCCTCTTCCACACGCCGACAGGGTCGGCGGATTACTCTTTACATTTCTATATTCCTTTCCAGGTTCGTGGGTCGATCATGTCCTCGACGTCCGATTTTCGTTGGCATGCGATTTTCGTTCATTTCATCGGTGATGTTCGTTTGCATTTGCGATGGTCGTCAATTTGTCGCGAGCTGGCTTGCTCGGAATGCGCTTCCGTGCAACAGCGCCAGCAACACAAAGTGCGCCAGAAGCGAATCCACTGCATTTTATGAATTGGAGGTTTTACCTGGGGGCCGCCACGCGCGCGCGAATTAGAAATATTCGGAACCTATTACCAGAGATCATCTTCGCACGCCTCTTGTCCGTCCGTTGGGCCGGCAAATTGGAGCCCCAGTGGGCCCGGAACGAGCTGGAGCGCCCGTCAGGCCTCCCCGGCTCGCCCTTCCCGACCCCCCCCCGCGGAGAGGGGGAAAAAGCCTCGAGGCCCCTGCCCCCCCCCCCCCCCGAGGGAGAAAAAAACGACCCGAGGGAAACAACAAAAAACCCGAGGGAAACAAAAAGAGACTCCGAGGGGGAAAAAGGAGACTCCGAGGGAAAAACAGAAAGACCCCCCCCGAGGGGGGAATAAATACAACTCCCCCCGCAGGAAATTCCCACCGCAGAAGAGGCAGACGCCAAGAACGGGAACGGAGACTACCTTCTTGGACAGCATGAGCCGCTGCAGTTTTACCTCGATTGTCGTGCGCGTGAGCGGAACAAGGGCCTCTACACTGCAGACCAGAAGATGAACGACATCAGGGGAGCCACAGCCACGAGGCAGAATCCGAACGGGAACGGCCCCAACCAGAGGAACGGACTCGAGTGTCCAGAGGAGCGGGACTACTACCCCTACTGGCATCCCACACCCTGGCGCGACATCGCCGTCATCACCGACGAGCCGGACAGGCGGTGCGACTATTATCGGGCAGAGTCGCAGAACGTCAAGGCGAAGAACTATTGCAGCGACCCGCAGCACAACAACGAAGCGGCCTGCGTCGCCAGCGGCGCGTCGTGGCAGGAGCAGCCCGCCTTCGATGAGCCCCCGCCCCAGTGCGTCGCAGGCGTGAGGCAGCGCGACAACCACAACGGCAACTCGGAGGGAGCCCACCCGCAGTACTTCATCTGGAAGATCCCCGAGGGCCTGGAGGGCCGATGCGCGCTGCGCCTGCGCTACAACATCAGCTCTGGCGATTTCCGCCCGGGGTCCACGGCGAGCGGCGGAGGCCCCGCCGACGAGGGGCGGAGGCTCGGCAGGTTGGGCAGCGCGGCGGCGGCGAGGAGGCTGGCGGAGGAGGCCTCGGGCTCGGTGTTCCCCTCGCAAGACATCGGGAGCGACTACTTCTTCGTTGACTCCGCGCAGAACGACCCAGACCCGGGCAGCCGCCGCCGGTCGATCTTCACGGGGGGTCCGCCCGTCCTGCCCCAGGACCCGATCTCCGACTTCGTCAACCTCGGTCCTGACTACCTGCTCCAGATGAACCTGAACACGGATCAGTACAGTCGCACCTTCCAAGACCGGACCCACAGCTTCTACGTGAACGCTCGTCCTTCCGAGGTCCCCGACGGTGCCAGAATTGTCAACTACAACGTGCGCGGGCGCCGCGGGAATATCGTGCAGGTATACCCGGCGGTCGAGTACGACTTCGTGCCCAACGATTTGACGGTGGAGGAAGGGGACTTCTTGCATTTCCAGTGGACGGGTTCGGATGCCAACAACAAGGGCAACGATGGTAACGGCCGCCAGGGCACCGACCGCTCGAACTTGGTTCAAATGGATACGCGCGAGCAGAATATTCCGATGTCGAAAGAAGGCCACACGTTGTTCTACGATGCGGCTGGAGATCCTGACAACGAGGAGGGCCTGGCCAACCTCCGCAAAATGGCCTACCTCAACCAGAACTACATCGTCACGTGTGACCAGAACCCGAACGCCAACGAGGATAACAGCGTGACCGATTGCCAGCAATTGAACGGCGCTTCGGCATACTTTGATGGGGGTGTGATCGAGATGAAGCAAGTCGGCGAGCACAAGGTCATGAGCACAAGAAACAACGACTTCTCCAACCGATCTCAGAAAGCCACGATCCGCGTCGTGTCCAAAAAGTGGAAGTGGTGGGAAATCCTGCTCGTGGCTGTCGGCTCGTTCCTGGGGGCTGCTCTGGTTAGCTACCTCGGCGCCGCCGTTTACGCATACTGCAACCCGCGGTCCTGGCTATTTTCCCCGAAGTACAGGCCGCGAGTGCTGAGGTGGTTTATCAGGCCGCAGACGCTGGAGGAGCTGGAGGCCAAGCGTAAGGCGTGCAAGTCGGGGGACAACCTGGTGGCCTCTGGCCAGGTGAGTGTCTCGGCGGTGGCCGCATCGTCTGCCTCCGGGCCCAGGTCGTCTCACGATCACAACTTCCCCTCTCCGGGCGGCAGCCTCACGAAGGCCTGGGGCAACACTTGGGCTGACCGGATCCTTGTCTGCTTGGGCTTCGCAGAAGGACAGAGGTCTGCAGTCGCGCTCTACGTCATGCTGAACATCGTGATCTTCCTCTGGGGCTTCTTTACAGAGGGCAGCCGGCTCAAAACCTGGGGGGTGAGCAGGAGCAGCGCCTGGGCGACGGCGGCTGGTGCTGGATACGCGCTGAGCTTCAACCTGGCCGTGGGCATCCTGCCCTCGCTGAAAAACCTACATGCTGCACTCCGTGGTGGAGGTACCATGTTGCGAGACTGGATCCCGATCGACGATCCGTTCATGATGCAGACGAAGGTTGGCATGCTCATCGGCATCTGGACGTGCGTGCACGTGGGAGGCCATTTCAGGCAGATTGGCGAGGTGGCACAGGGCGTTCCCCTCCAAGAGGATCCGCTGGGCGTGTGGCGGCTGACCCTCCAGCAGATTCAGTCTGGCACGCCCGTGGCCGACCAGTTACTGACGTGGACGAACTTCACAGGCCTGCTTGGTCTGCTGCTCCTCGTCGTGCTTTTCACGGCAACGGCGCCCCGATTCGAGTACGCGCAGAGGGTCTGGCCGTGCCTCCGGCTGTGTGGTGGATTCAACTTGTACCAGCGGACGCACATGCTGTGGCCGCTGTTCTACCTGATAATGGTCGTGCACGGCACGCCCCGCCTCTACGCGTGGCTCTTCTTTCCTGTGACCTGTTACGTCCTCGACAAGCTGCTCCTCCTGCAGCGACAGCTCTACCCAGCGGTGCTCTTCAGTGCGCGGCTGGTCGGTCAGGACGTGCTGCATCTGGCCCTGGAGGTACCAGAGGGATTCTCTTACCACGCTGGCCAGTACATTCTCCTGTGCTGGCGCGGGGAGTGGCACCCGTTCACGCTGACCTCCGCGCCCGAGGAGCGGCTCTTGTCGGTGCACCTCCGCGCGCCGCCAGAGTACGACTGGTGCGCCGCGCTTCGCCAGCGCGTGCTCGTGGAGGCGCCTAAGGCAGCGCACACAAGCAAGATCAGCGGGGAGCCCGCGCCGGGCACCGCCGTAGAGTACGAGCCGCTTGTCCTATCCAGCGGTACGGTCAGCGTGCCGCGGAGCGAGAGCAGGCCGAAGGACGACCCCAAGAGGGCTCACGCGCGCCAGGTTGACGACCCCACCGTCTTGCAGATGGCGAGGCCCGAGGACGCCGGGGATACCGTAGCCATCAAGATGGCTGGGCCGTTCGGCCCCATCTCGTCCAGGATCTTTGAGTTCAACGTCGTCATGCTGGTCGGCGTAGGCTTCGACACCACGCCAGCCGTTTCGATCCTACGGTCGGCACAGATGCGTACGCAGCGGCGGGCGCAGATGCTGTCCGCCACGGGCAGCAAGGGTAGGGCCGATTTGTTCGGCGCCGACGACGGCAAGTCCAGCGCTGCCCTCAGCAACGACGCCAGGCTGAGGCAGATGCGGGAGACGGCGGCCGCTCAGCAGGGTGCCAGCTCAAGGCTGACGTCCGTGGTGGGCGCCTCCAGGGCCTCGGGTGCCAGACCTTCGAGTAGCAGCGGTGGTGGCAGCGGTGGTGGCAGTGCTTGGAGCAGCGACCTCGCTGCCGCAGACCTCGTGCGGCACGCGGTCCAGGTGCCGGGCCGGATCCACCTGTACTGGCTGGTCCGCAGCACGGCCGAACTGCAGTGGTGCCACAGCATGCTCGTGGGGGCCGCGGAGGGCCCAGCCAAGGCCATCCTGGACGTGACCATCTTCATCGCACCAGAGGTGGACACCACACAGCTTGAGCCGCTGCCTTGTCGGGGCGAGCAACGCCTGCACGTGGGCCGGCCGAGGTGGGGCGCCGTCTTCGAGGCCGTCAAGGCGGAGCACCCGGGCAGCAACATCGGCGTGTTACTCTGCGGCTCTAGCGACGTGGGCGCGAAGCTCCTGAAGCAGGCCCGAAAGAGGAGCGACCCGCCGGACGCTGGCTCCTTGGGAACCTCCTTCTGCTACTTCAGGGAGCACTTCTGACAGTACGCCTTCGAGCCGGCCGCGGACTTCCTGTCTGCGGGGAGGGAGGGGGGGGGAGGGTCGGGTGAGAAGGCAGGGGGGAGCGAAGCCGACGGGGAGCCAGAATCGCTTCGCCCTCTGCTCGCCGCCACCGACGTCGAGTGGCGTCGCCAGTGCACAGTGCCAAGCGACATTTGCTCATCGTGCCGTCAGTTTCGTGGACGTCTGAAGGGGCGGTGAGGACCAGGGAGGGGATGACGCGGCCAGGGCCACGATTCTATGGCTTACTCCCCACCATCGACCACTTGGAGCCCTTGGGGCTTCTCCGGCTGTGTATTCGAAGCGCCCCGCAACATTTCCTCACCCGGGTTGCCCACGCAGGCCCACGCGCAGGCAAGCCAAGTGTTCGTGGCGAAGAAGAGCTCAGCAGGAGTGTGTCCGACGCGCCGCGCGACCTTTCGCCGGAGTGACCTTTGGTGGGGGCCCACTGGGATCTCCCGATCGCCGAATGCGATGCAATAGTTCCGTCTTGCGCGCTTGCGTTTCGCCCCCTCGCAGCTCACCGGCAGCCGCGCACCGAAGGTCGTTCTTGCCTGGGGTCGCTCTTGCGTGTAGCAGAGTCGTCAGCGTCGATGCGGCGTTAAGGTTTGGTTGACGTCACAGACTCGCCTGAGTCAAGGTTCTCAGTTATCTGGCGCTCGTGGGAGCCTTGACGTCCAAGCTGTGGCCAGCACCGAGCCGTTGGGGGCGGGAGTTTGAGCGTGAAAGCTGTGTCCGTCACGGGACCGTTTGTGGTCCCTCCAGGAGGGTCTTTTCAGCTACTAGTTGAGGCATGTCGTTCGTAGGGTTTGTGGTCCGTCTTGGAGGCTCTTGGTCGCATCTCGGGCAGTCTTGAGAGCCTCTTGGGCCATCTTCGGGCCCCCTTGGGCTGTCTTGGAGACGTCTGGGGCGGTCTTGCGGCCCTCGTGGACGCGCTCGTGGGGCCCTCTTGGGCCGCCTTTGGGCCTAGGCAGGAACAGGTCTTCCGTCACCTGGAACTCTAGGGAGCCTTGGCGTCGAAAGTGTGTCCGTCATTGGGCCGTCTGCGTCCAGGAGCATTGGTTTCCAAGCCGTGTCTGGGATTCGGCCGTCTGGGAGCCCTCTTGGTGGGCCTCTTCAGAAGGTGTTGGATGCATCTTGGCCTCAGGGGCAGTCTTGGGGGCCTCTTGGGCCGTTTTGGAGCCCGTCCCGAAGCACTTGCGGTCCGCCATGGATCTGTCTTGGGCAGTTTTGGCGCTGGTGCGATCGGGGGGCCCCCGTCCAAACTGGCCGGATCGAGCTCCCAGGGAAGGGGCTTGGGGAGGGGCAGCTACCTTACACGCCGAGGAACCCCAAGGGCTTCTTGGGGCCTCCTGCGGGGCTTCTTTGGGCCTCTCGGTGGCCTTTTGGGGCCTCTCGGGGACCTCTTGGGGTCTCGTGAAATCGTCCTGGGGGCCTTTTGGGGGCTTCTTGGGGCCATCCACGAGGGAGAGGCTTCGAAGGCCAGATTGATTCCCCTCTCTTGGGCCCCTGTTGGGGGCCTCTGGTGCCGTCTCGGGGGGGTCTTGGGCCGTCTTGGGGTCCTCTCGGGTCGTCTTGGGGTCCACACGAGGGCAACTTGGGGGCCTCTGGGGCCGTCTTGGGGCGATCTTGAGGGCCTCTGAAGCCGTCTTGGGCCTTCTGAAACTCGGAAAAGCGAGAACTAGGAAATCTCGAAACAGCCTCAGGGGAATCAGTGACGCTGGCCGGTGAAGTCCTCTCGGGGCTGTCCTGGGCCGTCTAGGTGTGCTCTTGGGCCCTCTGGAGGCCATCTTGCACTGAGGCCATCTTGGGTTTCCCGGTGGGCCCCACGGGACACTTCTGCGGCGCCTCCGGGAGCCTGCCTGGGCCAGACGAGGCCCCCAGCAATGCCAGGCCGACTCTCCCCCTCCAAACCGGCCGTCACCGAGCGCGTGCCACTACTCGCAAAGTGCCTGCTCGCAAATGGCCGAAAGCCACATGTCTTCTTCGACGTCATGGATCGTAAATCCACCACGGCGGATCCGGGCCATTTGCGAGTCGTTACTTTGCGAGTAGTGGGCCGCTCTGGTCCAGGCCGATGCAGGCTCTCGGGGCTCCCCCTCTCCACATCGGCCCATCCGGGCCCTCGGGGGAGCGGCCAGGGAGGGGCCGACATCCCACGCGCCGAGGGCCCCAGCGAGCATCCATCTCCTCGACTTCGCGGCCCCCCTTTTTTCTCTTTCAGTGCACCCCCCCCTTAGCTCCCACAGGCCGCGCACGTGCCTCGGGCCACGAGGCGCACCCCCCTCCTTCCTGGGCCCCCTCTTCGGCACACCCGACCGCTCGGCAGCACCTCGGTCGATCCTCCGCCTATGTCTAAGGGTCTGTCCATCGGGCTGGGGCCACAAAGGCCAGGCCGACAGGGGACCGGAATGGCTCCCACACCGGCCGGCCGGCATCAGCATCGACGACATCATCGGTGTGCCCAGCGGCGCCATTTTTTTTTGCCAGTGTAGGCAGCACCTCGTCTGATCTTGTGCCTTCGCCCAGGACCGCTAAGTTTTTCGGGCTGGGGCTTGAAGCCAGATCACCAGGGCGCCGGAATGGCCCCTTCGGAGTGCCGCCATCAGCGCTGCCAGCATCGCCAGTGTACAGGGCAATCTCAGCTTCGTTCTTACCAGCGGCGTGGGCAGCAGCGTCCTCGATATGCTGTTCGTGCCCAGGCCAGCAGTACGTAGCACTGCCGCTACAGGGGCTGTGGCACGTGTGTACCGCGACCGCGACAAGTCAAGTCAGATCCCCTTGGCATCGCTCGGACGTGTGCATTTTCTTCCCGGCGAGGACCATCGAAGAGCAGCTTGGATCATCTCGCGAAGAAAAACGCGCACGAAACCGAAAATCGCACGGGGAATGGACGTCCGAGCGATGGCGAGATCCCACCCTCGCACGTCCTCCCCCTCCTGTCGCAACTCCCTTCATCGCCCTCATCATCCTCCAGAGCCGTCGGCGAAGCCCCCTGGCGAGAGGCCCTGGGCTCGTGGCCCGACGCCCGCGAGGAGGAGGAGGAGGAGGAGGAGGAGGGCGACCACGACGGGAGAACGGAACGGAACATGATGATCGACAGTGCAGCACCCCATGCTTACAATTTCAAGGGCGCTCAGTCCTGCCACGAAAAGGCTGCAAGGTGCAAAAAAGAGTACCGAATCGGGAGCTCCAGCCACCACGATCTCCACCCTCCAGGGTCATACACATAGCCTCCCGCCCACCGCCGCGCGGGCGCCCACTTTCTGCTTGCGCTGCACGTGCCATCCTTGCCTTCTCCGAGCGACGATCATCAACACGGCCTTCCTCGGGCCGTGTGGAGCGCAGTGGTACTCTTCGAGGGACCGCGCTCCGTCTCTCAGCTCTCCCCGCCGAGGGACATGGCCGAGGGACCTCAGAGCCCGACCTACAGTCGGTGCGCTGAAGAAGGAACCCTTTTCGTTGTGGAGGGGCTCCGTGTTCCTTAATTGTTTCGCAGCTTGCCTCAGGGTTTCCTTAGGTTTTCGATACGAAATCGAAGTTTAACTTATGGAAAAACGGGGCCTCGTTCCTTATTTAGGGTTCCCTAGGTCAACGCCCCGACTGTATGGGAGGTCCTCCCCCCGGCGAGCTCGTTCCTTCCCGGGGGCGCGGCCCGTTCTCCCGGGGCCCGGCCCGAGACCCCGGAGGCGCAGAGAGGGCTCCAGGTTCACCGAGGGCCGAAGTGATCTCACGAGTCTCCCATCATCCTCCTCTTCCCCGTCTCCACCTGCCGTTGTTCCTTGTCGTCTCTTCTCCTCTCCTCTCCTCTCCTCTCCTCTGCTCTTTCTACTCCTCCTTCTCCTCCGTCTCCTCCGCATCATCATCATCATCATCATCATCATCATCATCATCATCATCATCATCATCATCATCATCATCATCATCATCATCATCATCATCATCATCAACAACAACATCATCATCATCATCATCGACTACATCATCATAACCATCATTGTATCATCATTATAATCATCATCAGCAGCATCAGCAGCATCAGCATCAGCATCAGCATCAGCATCAGCATAAACATCAGCATCAGCATGAGCATCATCATCAACATAATCATGATCAGCATCATCATCATCATCATCATCAGCATCCTCATCATAATCATCATTTTTCGCCATCATCATCAGCATCGTCATCAGCATCAGCATCATCATGGTCATCTTCTTCATCTTCATCATCAGCAGCAGCAACAACGGCAGCAACAGCATCATCAGTATGATAATCACAACCACTATCACCATCATCATATCACCGTCCTCCTCCTCCTCCTCCTCCTCCTCCTCCTCCTCCTCCTCCTCCTCCTCCTCCTCCCCCTCCTGCTCCTCCTCCCCCTCATGCCCTTCCTCGTTTTCCTCATCCTCCCCTCCTCCTCGTCCTCCTCCTCCTCCTCCTCTTCTTCCCCCCGTTCTGCCCATTCGTCCCTCTCCAGTTGCTGGTTATCATCATTCTCCTCCTCCTGACGTTCCCTCATTCCCCTTCCTGCTCCTCCTCCGCCTCCTCCTCCGGCTCCTCCTCCTCCTCCTCCTTCCCCTCATGCCCCTCCTCCTTCTCCTCTTCCTCCTCCTCCTCTTCCCCTCGGTCTGCCCATTCGTCCCTCTCCAGTTGCTGGTTATCATCCTTCTCCTCCTCTTGGCGTTCACCCATTCCCCCTTCTCTTCCTCCTCCTCCTCCTCCTCCTCCTCCTCCTCCTCCTCCTCCGCATCATCATCAGCAGCAGCAGCAGCAACAGCATCATCATCATCATCATCATGATAATCACAATCACCATCACCATCATATCACCACCATCCTGATCCTCCTTCTCCTCCTCATCATCATCACCACGACCACCATCATCACCATCACAATTACCATTACCATTACCATCATCATTGTTCGTCCTTAGCATCATATTCATCATCATAATCCTCATCCTCAATTCGATCCTCAGCACCAGCAACATCATGACCACCATCATCATCACTATCATCATCATCGTCGTCATCATCATCGTCAGCATCATCATCATAATCAGTATCAGCATCATAATCTTCATCATCAGCAGCAACATCATCAGCAGCATCATCAGCATACGTATCCAACTTATCATCATCACCATCATCATCGTCTTCATCATCATCAGCAGACGCATCAGTATCAGCATCAGCATCATTACCACCACCAGTATCATCATCGTCATCATCGTCGTCATCATCGTCATCATCAGCATCAGCATCAGCACTAGCACCAGCATCAGCATCAGCATCAGCATCACCACCACCATCATCATCATCACCATCATCATCATCGTCGTCATCATCATCGACATCATCATCGTCATCATCATCGGCAGCAGCAGCATCATCATCATCATCATCATCATCATCATCATCATCATCATCATCATCATCATCATCATCCTTCTGGTCCGCATCCTCATCGTCCTTCTCACATAGCTTCTCCCTTCTATTGTTCCTTCTCAGGTCCCCTCCTCCTCCCCTTCCCCCTCAGTTTCGTAAGTAGCCACGTTTGCTCAGGCCATGTTGGCTCAAGCCATCCGGGCATCATCACAAGGAGCAGGCCTGCGCGGACCCTCCACCCGATGCCTGCCGCGCGGTGGCAGCGAGCCCGGCCCTCCCACGTCCTGATCAGTGGGACCGAGGACCCTCCGAGCCCAGGCCGCGTGCCTCAAGAGAACGCCGAGGCCGCCGGTCTTGGCGGCGCGCAGAGGGGGCGGGGGGGGGGCGGGGCGAGGGCGACCCGCAAGAAGGCTCCCGGGGGCCTCCGAGGAGCCCCAGGCCTTCTCGGCAGAGCCCCCCCTGCGCGCGCAGAGGCCTGGGGCAGGGCGGGCGGGCAGAGGCGCACCTGGGCGCACGCAGGAGCGCCCAGGGGCACCTGCCGTCTGTCTCTCTCTCTCTCGCTCGGTCTCCCCCTCTCCCTCGCCCTCCTCCCGCCCCCTGCCTCCAGTCCGGAGGAGGGCCAGTGGACACGCTTGCAGCCCCTCCCGCCGCCCTCTCAGAAGGGCGCCCCCCTTGCGATGACGATCGCCATCGTCGTCGTCGTCGTCGTCGTCGTCGTCGTCGTCGTCGTCGTCGTCGTCGTCGTCGTCGTCGTCGTCGTCGTCGTCGTCGTCGTCGTCGTCATGGTCGTTGTCGTCACCGTCATCATCGTCGTCATCGTCATGGTCGTCATGGTCGTCATGGTCGTCGTCGTCACCGTCACCGTCACCCCCCGCACCCCCTTTCCCTGCGCGCCGCCAGCGATCCCCGGCCCTCTCGCCGCCGTGCCGTGGCGGCTGCCGCGGCCGCGGCGCTGCTCCTGGCGGCCTCCGCGGCGGCCGCGCGGCGCGCCGGCCCCGCGGGCCCCGGCGGCGCGCTGGGCGCCGCCGGCCCGGCACGGCTCTCGGAGGCCTCCGGGCCGTGCGGCCCGCGGGGGGAGCGCGGCCCGTGCCTCCAGCGGACGACGCCGGCCGCGCGCCGGCACCGGCCCTGGCCGGGCCCTGGCCGGGCCCAGGCCCCCGCGGCGCGCGGGCCGCCCCCCGCGGCCTGCCATGTGGGGGGCGGCGTGCGCCCCGCGAGGGGCTCCCGGCGAGCCGGGCGTCGCCATGTCTGTGGCGAGCCGGGCGGTGCCGCGCTCTCACATATGTGTGTCGGGCCCCGGGAGCCTCGCGGGTGGAGGTGCGGCTCGGGTCGGGGGAGCGTAAGACCCGGGTTTGCCGGGACTCGGGTTCGCCATCGTTTTTTGACGACCTCGACCCGGATTTTGACGAGGAGGAGTTTCGTGGGATGTCTGCAGCGGGAGGCCTCGTCAGAATGCAGGCTCGGCCTCGTCATTTTTTTGACGACCTCGTCGGGGATTTCCGAGTCCCCCGTACCCGGGTCTTACGTACTTCCGATCGGGAGGTGGCGCGGGCGGATGGGGTCTGGGGCTCTGGGCGTGGTGTCTTCTGCGAGGTTGCAGTTCTCTCGCCACCCAGGCATCCGACGTCTCGATGTTTTCGAGACGCGGGCCCCCGACCTCCCGACCACTTCCCCAGGGCCAGTTTTTCCTCCCGAGCCGTTTTTTGACGGTCCCGAGGCCCGGCGAGGGCCCCGAGAGGCCGAGAACTATGGAAAACCTCCGTCTCGATTTTTCGAGACGCCCGATGTCTTGCCACGTCGGATCTCAGGGGGGGGCCTGTGGCCAGAGTCGGTGCCGGTGTGCCGCCGCCGTCGTGCCTGCCTCACGGCGGAGAGCCGGCGGCGGCCGGCGCCCCGAGCGGGGCAGCTCCGGCCGCGGGGTCCGGGAGGGGCGCTTCCATCCACGAGGCGTTCCGCAAGGGGTTCTCCCCAGCCTCGAACCTATCCCTATCCCCAAGATTGACACGCTAAAAGGAGATGTCAATCTTAGGGATACACCCTCAGAAACTGAGGACATCCCTGAGATCGCCATCGTGATGAGGCGATGCCCCACATAGGGATAGGGATATGTTCCAGGCTGGTAAGGTTCTTCTCTAGGGGAACAAAGAGTGGCGTAAACATACAAACTCGGAAGTCCGCGCGGATTCCTCGGATCGGCGCTGGGGCCCCCTGGCGGCGCCTCCGGCGCCGCCCCTGGCGCGCTCCGCGCGCCATGGAGGGGGGTCCGGGGCCGATCCGAGAAATCCGCGCGGACAACTGAGTTGTTATGTTGATGTAAGTGTTTGTTCCCTTATTCTCGCTCCTGAGGGGCGAGGGCGCAGAGGAGGCCGCGCAGAGTGCGCTGACATGGGCGCAGCGGGCAGGACAGAGAGAGAGCAGCGAGGGCGCGGGCACTGCGAGGTTTGGCTCCTCCGAGGCCATGGTGCTGACCGAGCCTGTTGACGAGCCAGCTGCGCCGACTGCAGCACCAACGGGATCACGGACCAGTTCACCAGCGATTGCACCACTAGCCACGCCGACAGCAGCACAGACGACTGCACCCACGGGGGCAGCGACCTCTTTCCCGGCGGCAGCACCGAACCAACCTGTTGGCCATCAGCAGAACTCGCCTGGGACCGAACGTGTTGACGAGCCAGAGCCAGCGAGCCCATCCGACGACCAACGTTCACTGAATGCTGGCTTCAAGACTGATTTAGGCGACCCGCTAGTGGCGACCCAGACCGGCTGCAAGAATTGGAAAGTTGCTTCAATCAAGACCACCAATACCGATGGTGCAGATAAATGTGTGCACGAATGCCGCGTGACTCAAGGTTGCGTCGCGGTGAATTACCAGGTTGAGGGGTGCTCAGACGACCCGCGAGACATGCACGGGACAGAAGGCCTGTGCCTCATCCTTGGCGAGAAGTGCGACACTGGGCCAAACCATTGCTGGACATTGTATACGTTGCTTTACCCTGGTCAGCCGTCGGAATCTGCAACGGCTTCACCCTAAAGACCTGCCTGGTGCTGGTGGACATGCCAATCGGCGAGGGCAGCAGTCGGTTCTAGTGACGTCGGACTGCAACCGCGCAGATCTGCCTGTCCTGCCTCATCGTCCCCCTCGCCTGCGTACTCAAGAGGCTTACGCCATTCCGCCGACCTCCAGAAGAAAGAGCTTGCGACGATCTTGGAACCCATCCAGACATGGCCTCTTCGGGGACCTCTCGGGGGCGTCTGGGAGCTGCTTTTGGGCCTGGTGGGGGTCTTCGGGGGCCACCGGTGGGGGCTCCTGGGCGCCTGCTGACGGCCTCGGGGTTCCTCTTTGGCGGCGGATGGTACGACAAGTCAACTCGAGCTACGTCTCCTGGAGGAGGAGGGGGAGGAGCAGGAGGAGGAGGAGTGCTCCTCCTCGGGTCCTTGTGGGGCGCCCCTTGGGCCGTCTTGGGCGCCTCTTGGCCCGTCTTGGGGCCTTCAAGGGCCGTCCTGGGGGCTCTCTGAGCCGCTTGGTAGCGATACTGCGGTCCTCTCGACCCGTCTTGGGCGCTGTGAAAGACGAGAAACGGCGAATCTGAAGCACGTAATTACGTCTTCCGAACCTATTGTGATGTTTGCCCCTTCGGACCTCATGGGGTCCATTTGGAGCTCTACTGGGGCGTCTTGGATGCCTGTTGGCTTGCCTTGAGGCTATCCAGGGTGGTTTGGGGGCCTCTTCGGCGCGTGCTACGGGCTCTAGACATGGACGCTCCAGCGGCCCCGCAAACGCGAATTTGGACCCTGGAGGACGGGGAGGGAGGGGGGGGTGGGCAGCCAACCATCTCACACGCCTTGTCACCCTGATCAGGCGGGGGTCGGCGGACGCCCTGCGAGACTGCGCCCTCTGCCGACAGGCCCCCAGGCGGAGCCACCTCGGAATTATCCTCGGACCACCTTAGGGCCCTCTGGGGCCATCTGGGGGCCTCTTACACGTAGGTGCACCGTGTGGCCTCTGGGGGGCCGTCTTTGGGCCGTGCCTGGCAGGGTTGAGGAGGAGGAGGAGGAGGAGGAGGAGGAGAAGGAGGAGGAGGAGGAGGAGGGGGAGGAGTTGGGCCTCTGGGTGTCATCCTGGGACTCTTATAGGAACATCCCGTGGCCGATTCGAGGCCATCCTTGGGCGATGTCGCTAGCGTCTTGCGGCTTCCGGAGGCCGGCTCTGGGCCACGTCGGGCACCACTGGAGCTACCCGTTGAGCTTCGTGGGGCCGACATGAAGCCCTTTTGGGGCGCCTCCGGTGCAAAACGAGCGACGAGAAGGACACATCAAGCATCTGAAGTTTTTTGTCAAGATGTTGCTGCCTTCTCGTAGCCTTCTCGGAGCGTCCTGGGGGAGTTCTGGTAGGTTTTTAGAGGCCCTGACGGGCCGTCTTGTGATTTTTGGGCCCTCTTTTGGTGGCGGGGGCCCTCGTAGGCAGCAGAAGAGACAGGACCGGAGAGACTGGGGACAGGACGCAGGAGACAGGACGAGACAAACAGATACGACAGACACCAGCAAGACAGCAGCCCAGCAGGGACCTTCACAGCCTGGCCAGTGCGCCCCCACGGGGGCCAGCGAATTCCCCCATCCTCATCCTGCTATCTTCTATCCCCCATTTCCTCCTGATGCCACGCTTGCCGCTGTGTGCCTTCATGAGCTACACGCGCTTGCAATCAGCGCTGGTTCACAAAGCCTCTAATTCTCTGCCATACCGCATGTAAGTTCATGCTGGCCCCGAAGGGTTGGTGCAACCACTCATGCCGTCGTCGTTGGCACTCACCCCGAATCCCCTCCGATCTCACAGATAGATCTGTATGTGGGCAGGTGTGTCGTTTGGCAATTTGGCTTCACCAGTAAGTCAGTATCAATTCGAAGTGCTTCCTCCATGCGTCAATATCCAGAGCTGGCGGCGATTCTACGTGCGCACGTATCCTGATTCCTACCCATATTTGTAGTTGCTTCATTCACCTGCTCCGTCATCCTCCAGCTCCGACTCCCTCTTCCGCAATTCGGGCCGTGCAGCTCACACGTTCTCAGTGGCAGCTATTGAAATGTGACGAGTTTTTGAAAGTTGTCGAGACGTGACAAGATAAAGGCATGCCAACGTCGTCCTGTTCGTTATGTCATTTCGCCTTATCTCCATCCTTCTGCCTTTTACTCCTCCTACCCCCCCCTCTCCCTCTTGGCCTCTCCTTCGGCCTCGTCCTTGTCCTCGTCGTTGTCGTCGTCGTGGGGGGAGGGGGGGAGGGAGGAATGGAGGGAAGGAGGGAGGGGAGGAGGAGTATGCTAGGTGCGCTCGCGTCATATCTGACGTCCTACCCCTCCCTCCCATCCCTTACCATGGCGCAGATATCCTCCCTATTCGCACAACTGGGTGTCGTAGCATGATGTAGCATTACATGGCATAACATGGTGTTGAAAATTAACGCGTAGCATGACATAGCATGGCGTGGTGACGCCCCAAACTGAGGGAGGGGGGGGGCTTCTGCGGTCCCACAAATCAAATAATCGACACTAGATTTGCGGGCCATTTGGAAGACCGAAAACCATGCCGTGGCATTGCGCTGGAAATGATGACGCCAACGCTGCAGCGGGAGCACGATTCGGAACGAGCGGAAGCGCGGAAATGAGGCCAGCGCTGCAGCGGGAGCACGATTCGGAACGAACGGCAGCCCGAAATTGAGGCCAGCGCTGCAGCGAGAGCAGCATTTCGAAAGAAAACAGCGAAAACCAGTTTCTGGGAAATCCTGTGTGTAATACACCAGTACGCGGAGGGGGGCCGGCCATTTCCGAGACGCCACCAGGGGAAAGAGGAGAGTCGAAACCAATTGCCCTAGCCAGCTCAACCTGCCAACCCGTCCAACCAGCCAGCCAGCCCACCCAGCCACCCCGCCACCCAACCAACCCGTCAGCCAACCAGCCCAGCCGCCTAACCCGTCACCCCGCCAACCCGCCGATCCCCTTCGCCTGCTCTCCGTGCCCAACCAGCCACCCTGCCAACCCGCCCTCCCC